ATAAACGTAATACTTATAATAACGATTTACTATCGAACTACTGTCAATACATGTGGAGAGAAGAAGAGAGAGAGAGAGAGAGAGAGTGACAGAGAGAATAATGCCTTTTCATTTGGAGAACAGCGAATCTCTGCTAATGATCATCTTTTCTCATGAAAACGATAACAGAGTCACGATAATTATGGAGCAAACGTTTAAACGCTAAGCGCGGTATTAAGAGCACTTGCTTTCACAAAAAGAAAAAAGAAAGGAAAAATGCAACTAGCTGGGAACAACGCTCGAGTTTAAGGGAGGCAACGAGCGCGAAAGAAACCGGCCTGTTGCATCGTTTCGGTTCACGTTAACGCACGAGCTACATCGTTTCGATCGATACCATATTTCCTATTATTTGAACATCATTTCGGTTCAGTTTCTTTGGCACTGTTTACATTCTTTCTCGGCTGAATTGTTAAGACAATCGATCGGTCGGTCGACGGAGGACGAGGGTGTTTAATCGAACGTGCTTGCCGAAGTTCGAGTAGTAAACTCAATAGCTAAACGAAGAGAACACCTCCTTCCGATTTTACAACGTAATCGTAGCGTATTTACAAGTTGATACAGAGGTTTTACAAAGGGCACTGACTGGTATAATGTGGTAACTACAGACCTGAAAAAACATTCGATTCTCGGCCGTGAGTCTTTACCGAGGCATTTCGTGCTTCATTTCGAGTTTGTGTGTATGGCACAGCGCAGAGCGTCGAAGTCAGCATTGATAAAAATCGTTCAATTTGTTATGAGAATGGTGAACACGAATGAAAATAAGAAGAAAAAAAAAACATTAATATTTTCTATTATTAAATTTCTTTTATTAATATTTTCTATATTTTTATTACATTTTGGAAAAATTTAAATGGAAGAAAATAAAAAGAAGGAAAAATATATAGGGAAAAAAAAAATATGATACAATAATTCAAACGCGCTTTACAACGGATTTTTTGTCTTTAAACATGATTTATAATTTCGAATATATTATGTATATACCTTTATCTACATAAATTTAATATTCATATAATATACATATAAATATTTAAATGTGGAAATAAATTGTTTTACTTCCATATCTTATGTATTAGTGTTCGGCGCTGTGCCATATACGCAATACTCCTTTTCTTTAATTATTCTCAATATTTTCTATTCAACATTTTCCCCGACATTTCGCATAAAGACTCTAACCAGAATATCGTTCCTTGTAACGCGTTCTTAAACAGAGTTCGCATGGTGCAATGCGCGTTGTAACATTACGGGATTATTTATATCTACAATGACTTTCGCGCAATGTGTCGTATTGCACAACTACAAGAGAAATTCTACAATATCGCTGTTTTGTAATAAAAAGTTCAAAGTTGATAACAATGAATTTTTTTAAACATTTTCATTATATAAGTGTGTAAATATATATTTATATATATATATTAATCAATTATAAATAACTAGATGTTATAAAACAAAGAGAAATCGATAAACACCGGAATTATTTAATATTCAAACAATTGTCCCAAAAATCTATGAATTCAACATTCAATTGGCATCAGATAATAATAAAATTATTGCATTTCATTGAAAAATATATATATCAAAGAAAAAGAGAAAGAAAAAATATAAATTTGTTAAACGAGTCTAGATCATTCTATTGCTGCTCATATAAAATTTAACATCGCACGATAAATCTATTAATGTGCTCAGGAACGTAATAGGAAAAAAGAGTCATGAATATAAGTAACGATAATTTCTGCGAGGAAGAAACATTGCGATTAATTAATCATTAAAATATTCAGCAAATCGTTTTTACATATACAATCTTTCATAACTATTTTATACACCTGACAAACATGCTCTTTTTCTCCTTTCATTATATCACACGACTGAACGGATGGCTTCGGGCAAGTTATCTGTAGTCGTGAAGAATCTGTTAATGAGCAATAAAACGACTAGGATTGTCGAGGGGGAGGGCCGGGAGGATAATATCGCGTATCAAAGTTAAAAAGTTAAAATATATATAATGTTTAAGTCTTTCAATCACTAAAAATGTCAAGCGTTACAGTGTTATTCTAACTTTTTTGTAGTGTATAAATAAAAAAAGAAAATCCTCCATCAAACAAAAGGATAAATTCCGAAAAGATACTAGACTAATATTTTTGCTACAAAATTTTCAAAATTTAAGGTTTGTTACAAGATATACAATACGTAAAAATATAACAAATTCATTAAACAACATATTGGACATATACTCTACTTGCACATTATTTGAACAAATGGTTCTTGGTGACATCCCGAATACCACGGAATACGGATTACACAAAGTACTAGGAATTTGGCACCGTGAATTTCTGCTGCAAAGTCAATCAAAAAGATCGACTGGAAATCTAGTCGTAATGTACTCGGTTTACACATGGATAGCGTCTGTATTTTTTTCTAATTATTTGAACAATTATATAACACACAACAATAATAATAATTGTGAATAATATTAATATAATTATCGTTAATTCTAATAATAATTAAAAAAAAAAAAGGGTTATGAGACTATACAATGTGATATTGTCATTTACTAATCATTAACGAATGATTGATAATTACTATAAAAACTATTATAAAAAAACGTCATTTTTACCTTTTTTTTTTCATTTTCCTTTTTTTTACGGAAAACTCATTGCCGCACTCCGCCGAGCGCTTCTTCCCATATTCTTTTCATCAATAATTAAAATTTAAAATTGTAAAAAAATTATGTCCCAGCATAATGTATGTTTTAAAATCTTTGTGAAATCAAAGTGATTTCATCTCTAAAACAAAATTCAGCGATTTTAAACTGATATCCCATTTGCTCGAGCTGTCATTTTGCACAGTCAGTTAATTTTCTTTGCTTCTTTTTGCTTTTTATCTTTAAAATTCGTTCGTTTCATATTGTTTCTTTTGTCAACCGACCATACCTATCATACAATCAATACGTTATTATATAGAACGTATCAGCGAAGGAAAAATAGAACGAAGAAGTAACAAAGAATCTTAAAATCACAAAGTATTACAAGGTCTCTCTCTCTCATATATAGGAAGGTAACCCGTTTTTTCTTCTTTTTTTCCAAGCCCTTTCTCAAGTTGCGACGAGCAACGCACGAATCACGCACGACAGATTCGTGCCAGCTCATGGATAAAGTGTATGCAAGTGTATACATGTTATGTCTTGCGAGCCAGTTTTCTTTTTCCTTCCGGCGGACAAAAAGAAACCCGGACGTGGCACGCGGTAAGCCTTATTATCTCTTGGACCCTCTTCTCGCAATCGTATCATTTTTTTGTTTCTTTTCTTTTATCTACGTACTCTTAAAGTGGACGACACACTTGGACGTACGCACAGTAAGTAACTTATTACAGAGTTTAATTATTTCTTTTCCGCTGCGCCTTTTCATTTCGCTATAATATCTTCCTTAGTCACCTTGGGACCAGCTTAAAATCCCCGCACAACATTTTATATTTGCATTTCGCCGATCATCAGAATGCCCTTATCTCCATTTCTCG